AAAGTGAAAACATATAAATCAGTGAGTCAGAAAATAAGGAAAATACCATTTGCACTTACTTTCTTTTCTAATCCTACCTCTCCTTCACCAAATACGTAGTTTTAATTAAAAATGAAGAGGGAAACATTTGGCCCTGAGTTAATAAGTTATGAGCCATTTGTTATTTGGAACTGCTTCTGTTGCTTGCAATTCTTCAAAAGGGACCGAGAGTTTTCACAAAGGTACTTTCTATAAAACAAGTTAAACTAAATCATTTGGACGTGGTGAAGCATAGAGATCGCAGCTGGCATCTGACTGCTCCAAGACGTTCAATTACACCGCTGTTACAGCAAGCCTGGCAATGCCTTTGGGATTAATGGCTTGTTTCCTTCCCCCTCTAGCTTTGCTCTAAAATCCCCTCTCGTCGTCCCCACATGTGGCAACCGCCGAGCTGTTTGGCTTGCAAAGCTCCGCACACATCGCTTCACCAATACAACAGTCCCCGGCGCTAATGGAGACTGCCAGAGCAGCTCTTTTATTCCGTGAGTGTCTCCGTACAGAGAGAGCTGCAAGCTGATGCGGAGAGCGGTGTTTCCCTACCCCCGGACCTCCTCTGCTCTTAGCCTGCAGGCGCCTCACCTCCGAGCTGTCTGCGCAGCCAGAAACAGAACTGAAAGGAACCCCGAGGACGAGGTTGGCAGCGGCACCGTTTTGGTGTCATTTATTACAGCGAACAAAGGTTCTTGCGTGCCCCAAAGAGCGGTGGTGTGTGTAACGGGGACCGTCAGCAATGCCCTCTGGGAAGTGACAGCACTGCCCAGGCACTGGCATCTTCTTTTCTCTGACACTTTGGCACACATCTCATCTCTAGTGTCTCATCCAAGAAGTCCTAAAAGTGCTTGTCAAGGCAGGAGCACAAAATCTCTGACACAGGGAGAAAAGGCATCTTCTTCCAAAACCTTTGTCTGCTGAAAAGGACCCCTTTTCAACTGAAAAGTTAAAAACATCGGGGAGAGTAGCTTGGCGTTCACACGCCATGCAACACTGGGCTCATTTACAAAAAAGAATCAGAGCAATCCCCTGCATGGAGAGATCATCTTCTGGCAGGAAACCAAATTTGCAAGGAAGTATCCCAAGGAAGCCAAACGATTAACACCAAACTGTAACTGTAAAATTTAATTAAAAAGAAAGAACTACATCATGCTGCTAGAGTAACAGCCAAAGGGGGAATGAAACATGCAGTAAGAGCAATACATGAAGTGCAGTAAAAATAGCAGGTCTGCAAAGAAAGGTCAAACTCTTTACACAGCAATCGCCTCTTGCACTCACACAATAGCACCATTTCAGTTAAAAACAGTGAGTTACCTCCTACAAGCAAAGACCATCCAGATTTTCAAATTTCTATTCCCCTTGACATACATCTGGTACTAGATAAAGAAACACGGACCAGCCCTCCCTCCCCTTCACTCTCTCTGCTCCTCCCTTCACCCTTGATTTTAAAATACTGTATTTAGCTTTTGCTGTACAGTTCCCTCCCCTATAAAAAACACTCTGGTATTCTTTTCTTGCTACTTACATATGGGGCTGAAGTTTGTTCCCAGAAGCCAGAGAAGATATTCGCAATGCCAGGATGAATGACAGTGCCACCGCATGAAATTCCATTGCAACAGCTCCTCTCTCCCCCCGCAAGGCGCTTCCACTGGTGCCGGAGAATCTCACACCCTTCTCAAGAACGACTTGCGAGTCCCTGTTCCTCAAAGGAGGACACTCCTGGCTGGCTCCTGCTCCCCGCTTGCCGGTGTCTCTCTTTCTTGCAAAGGACAATGCTATCGGAGCACACAGGAATTCTTGCACGGGGAGAGCAGATTTATCATTCCTAGATGCTTCCTCCCATATGGGTTCAGTTCAGCAAGTTTCTTCAGTCCACGGAAAATGATTATAGTGCAGATTGTCACTGGGTTTTTCCCAAAACCAAACCTGGCTTCTTGCGCTCATTTCCTCGTAGTGAAGCGTACTGAAGTGATTTTTCCTTCTGGCATTTGCTTCTTGACAAAGCCCAAAGACCTGGCGGCTCACAAGACCTGGGTTCTGCCCAGAGATGAAGCCCCATGTGGGTTTAGCCGATTTGGAGTTGCGATCCGCTTCGCAAGGCAATATAAAAACCAGCACTTGGCAAGGGAAAGGAAAAAGAAGGGGTGCTCTCCTGCGCTCCGAGAAGCCCACCTCCCTGAGGGCTTTTCCAAAAGCAGGCAGAGTGCTCATTTACCCCATCTGCGTAGGTGAAGCCATCCTCCTGCTACAGCTCCCCACCTTCCTCCAGAGTCGGGCTCCAGTAACTCCTGCGCGCGCACGCACACTAAGAGCAGCTCCCCTGCGTTTCAAGGGAGCAACAAAACTTCCCTCCTGCCTTTCCCAGGTCTAGCTCCTTCCCCTCACATGCTCTCTTGTTTCTTTTCTTGCTGACAGTCAGAAATCCCTCCCACCAGCTGTGGCCAACCCCGACGAGAGGAGGGGGGAAACCCTGCAGAACAGTAGCAGAAATGATTCGGGTTTGTTTCTCGAAAGACAGCTCTTTTGCACTACCCAAGGCCAGCTCCATACACACCACCCAAAATCCCCTTCCCAGCAGCTCTAGAAACATCCCCCAGAGATTGAATCTTTCCTATGCGCTCTAACAGATAATAAAATTGATCACTTCCCAAGGAAATTCTGCCGTGCATGTAAAACAGACAGGGACACATCTGACCTGCGCTCGGCTGCTAGAGGGCTGTTAAACGACCTGTTCCCGGCACGGCGGGGGAATACACTGGGCAAAGAGGGAGTTGGGGAACAAGATTAAACTGCTATCTGCCTTTTCCCACCAAACTCCCCACTATATAGGCAATCAGCACAAAAAGAGCCGTTGACAAGGATTTTGCTGCAGCCGGGTGACAGCCCGCTGGCCCTTGTGAAATGAGAAAACAGAGACAGAAGTGCCCAAGCCTAATTCTCAGACAGTTCGCTGCTGAGTTTCCTCTTCCAAAAAACTGCCACGAGTATCACCAGTTGTTATTACCAGTCTCAGCAGCAACGGTGAGGACCGAGGGGCTTACAGAGGGCTGAGCTGTCTCCTGCCTCCCCTCCTGGAAGGATGGGCACAGGGCAGCCAACGCAGCAGGATGGGGAAGAGGAGAGCGGAGCAGGGATGCTGCACCAAAACTCTCTTGCCTCAAGAACCTGCTGGCAAACGCTCTCACCAAGGGCAAGGAGGAATCAAAGCAACAGCTGGCAGACCCAACCTTTGGCAAATACTGATTTCTGTGAGGGAAGCAAGGTAAAGAAGGTTTGGGTGGTCTCAGCACCCACGCCATGCACATGTTTTGCCCCTGGAAGACAATCATTGCATTGAGACTAAAGTCAGCGATGAGCCATGCCCAGAAGTCAGTAGCTCCTGGAAGAAACCGAGGCAGCTGCTTTTCACACCTTAACCCTTCCAAAGCGACAGCCGTCGCATAAATCATTTAGGTCAGAGAAAAGAGCAGGTAAGAAGAGCTAACGTTTCCCCTTCAAAGTAAATATCTGCCAAGCCTAACAGGTGGGAAGACAACATCTTTCATTCTTCCTAAAGAAGCAAGGCAACTACATAAAGATGTTTTATAATGATGGAGCAAGCTCCAGGGTAAATTCAGGCCTCTGTTTTCCTGTCAGGAGTCCAAAAGTTAGGACTCTTCTTTCAGTAGGAAACCCTAAGACTGCTTCCAGTTAAGTCTTTCAGCACTAACTTACTACCGCTACCCAGAAGCTTTCTTTACACTTAGCTCACCCTCTGTTTGGGTCCAGCTGTAGCAAACACAGTGCTGGCTATGCAGTCCCTGGACTTCCAAGATGTCCAGATGAAACCTCGGGACCTGGCGAGGCACCAGTCGCTCCCGGCCCTGGCCAAATGCCCGCTGGCAGGGCGGTGGGAAAGGTAAAAGGGATCCTGCTCTCCAGCCCAGCAGGCTGGGAGCGGGCAGGGACTGGAGTGTGGCTCCCTCTCCAGGACACGGCTCAGCGTCCAAGGAGCGGGATTCCTCCAGGGTCAGCCACAGCTCCCAAGCCGTGTCTCGGGCGATGGTGCCAGCTACTATGAGACCACTTATGAAGAGGATCCAGGCTGGTCTGGCTGCGGGAGGCAGCGACAGCGGTGCGGCCAGCCTCTCTGGCCACCCCCGGCAGGCCACCGGACGAGAGAAGAGGAAGCTCTGATGGAAAAAAACATGCGCTTTGAGCGTGGCGTGCAAAGTTCCCCGGCGTAAAGCCAACTCTGCGATTCTATTGTAAGACGCCTTAAAGGAAGTAATGAGGCTTCCCGCTTAAACCGGCTCATGTGAGCAAGGGTTGCAAAGAGTACACACGGGAAAGAAGGGTATCTGAAAAGCCAGTACCGCCTGTGAAGTAAATTTTATAAGTTTTCAATCTTGCACCATTTCCCAGCGTGACCACCCGCTGAAAACGTAGTCTTCTGGCTCAGGGTAAAACGGCCCCGGAAAGCAGTTCCAGGTACCATACGGTTCCATAAATCACGATGATAATACCTGCACTACAGCCAGAGACGATGGAAACAGAAACGCGAACCTGCTGTTTGCTTCCCGAGCCCTGGGGAAGAGCGGAGGGACCTGGCAGGGGCCGGCGGCTCTTGTGAGAGAGGCTCTGGAGGCGGCATGCATGTTGGCAGGGGCCGTTGTTAGGAAAAATGTGGCCACACAACGTGTGGCTGTCCTGGTCTCTGGCTGCGGGGAGTGCCTGAGCCTGTCACTGATGACGGAGGGCAGCGGGGACACCTCTCGTGTGAGGTGTGACTGGGTGGAGGATCTGCTCAGCCTGGTAGCAGAGCCGAAGGAAGAACTGGAAAGGTTGAGGAGTATCAGGGAGCGTGAGAGGGAGAGAGATCAGTGGACCAACACCCTACCATCCCTGAGGCAGATGGAGTTCCCACAAGAAGCGGAGGATCCCTGACCCTCTTGCCACCAGGCAGGAGGGGACCTAAGAGATGGAGGGGAATGGATACAGGTCCCTGCTCGGGGAGGCAGGAGAATCCCCTCCTGGTCTCCCTCACCTTCCCAGTTGCCCCTACACAGCAGGTATGGGGCCCTGGAACTTGAGGACCAGGCCAGTGAAGATCAGGGTGTAGATGAAGCCCTATCTAGGGAGGTGCCTAGGCTCAGTCGGGCAGCCCCACGCATTCTCACAGCCTCTGAAAAAAGAAAAAGGAGGGTAATTGTCGTAGGCGACTCCCTTCTGAGGGGGACAGAGGACCCAATATGCAGTCCTGACCCATGCCACAGGGAAGTCTGCTGCCTCCCTTGGGTCCGGGTAAAAGACATTACCAGGGAACTCCCTGGTCTGGTTCAGACCTCTGATTATTACCCATTGCTGGTTGTGCAGCTCAGCAGTGATGAGATTGCAGAGAGAAATCCAAAGGCAATCAAAAGGGACTTCAGGGCACTGGGACGATTAGTGGAAGGATCGGGAGCACAGGTAGTGTTTTCCTCAATCCCGTCAGTGGCAGGGAAATACACTGAAAGGAACAGGAAAACACACCTGGTTAATACGTGGCTCAGAGGCTGGTGCCATCGGTGGAATTTGGGGTTTTTGTTCACGGGGAGGTTTATACGGCACCGGGCTTGCTGGCAACAGATGGTATCCAGCTATCTCAAAGGGGTAAAAGAATCCTCCCTCATGAGATGGCGGGGCTCATAGAGAGGGCTTTAAACTAGGTTTGAAGGGGGTAAGGGATAAAACCAAAGATGAGCCAACCAGGTTGAAGAGACGGATGAATCATTCTACAAGCGGCTGGCAGTAGTCTCAGCATCGTGTGCCCTTGTTCTCGTGGGGGACTTCAACTTTCCAGACGTCTGCTGGAAAGACAACACAGCAGTGAGTAAACAATCTAGGAGGTTCCTGGAGAGTGTGGAAGAGAACTTCCTGACACAGCTGGTGGGTGAGACAACCAGGGGAGGAGCCTTGCTAGATCTCTTGTTTACCAACAGGGAAGGACTGGTGGGAGGTGTGATGGTCGGAGGCCGTCTTGGGCTTAGTGACCATGAAATGATAGAATTCTCAGTTCTTGGAGAGGCAAGGAAGGGGGTTAGCAAAATCACCGCTATGGACTTCTGGAGGGCAAACTTTGGCCTTTTCAAGGCACTGGTTGAGAGAGTCCCTTGGGAGACAGTCCAGGAGGGATGGACATTCTTTAAGAAGGAAATCTTAATGGCTCAGGACCACGCTATTCCCATGCGCTGCAAGTCAAACCGCCGAAGAAAACGACTGGCCTGGCTGAACAGGGAGCTTTTGCTAGGAGTCAAAACAAAAGGAGAGTTTATCATTTCTGGAAGAAAGGGCAGGCAACTTGGGAGGAGTACAGGGATCCTGTTAGATCATACAGAGAGAAAATTAGAAAGGCAAAAGCTCAGCTAGAACTAAATCTGGCCGCTATTGTAAGGGACAACCAAAAATGTTTTTACAAATATGTTAACAGTAAAAAAAACTGAACTGTGTTCAGTTTTGGGCCCCTCGCTACAGGAAAGATGTTGAGTTGCTGGAACGTGTCCGGAGAAGGGCAACCGAGTTGGTGAGGGGCCTGGAGCACAAGTCTTACGAGGAGCGGCTGAGGGAGCTGGGGCTGTTGTTTAGTCTGGAGAAGAGGAGGCTGCGGGGAGACCTTACCGCTCTCTACAGCTGCCTGAAGGGGGTCGTAGTGAGGTGGGTGCTGGTCTCTTCTGTCGGGTGGCTGGAGACAGGACGGGAGGAAATGGCCTCAAGCTGCGGCAAGGGAGATCTAGGTTGGATATTGGGAAAAATTTCTTTACTGAGAGGGTTGTCAGGCATCGGAACAGGCTGCCCAGGGAAGCGGTTGAGTCCCCATCCCTGGAGGTGTCCAAAAAGCGAGCAGACGGGGTACTCCAGCACACGGATTAGCGCTTTGCGGCTGCACCGGACTTCGCGTCCACCGCCCCGGGGCAGAGCAGCCCACTCCCTTGTGCCGACCCCCGCAGCC